CCACCCCAGTGTGGTCAGTTTCTGGCTGTGCTGGGAGCATTGCCTGCCAGTCCTCCAATGGCCAGACCTATGCTGACATGCCCCCCCCCCCCCACACAGCTAATCACCATGAAGATCAGTGTACTGCTGTTTCCCTGCCTCCTGTGGACATGCCCCCTTCAGTCTCCACCCCCAGCTCTCTAAGCCCCTTATGCAGCAGCTGAAAACAGATCACTTATTAAAAGGATAAAAAGGTATTTTTAAAGTGATCCATATATATGGTTTGCCTTGAATGTCTGTTTTATACTCCATAGGCTGTTCTGTACATCAGACATGAGATGATAAGGTGTGATGAGGCAACTGTCTCTATCTGAAGAACAAGTCAGGACAGGGGAGCGGCAGTGAGCCCAGAGTGAGCCCAGGTGAGGGTGAGCCCAGGGTGATCTGGCTTTGTAGTTACAGACATGATTAGATCACACATTTGGGACTAATGACTAGTTTGTTGGTGAACGGAAGCAAAGAACATCCATCCTCCTCCATTCTGTGTGTTGTTAGTGACAGGCAGGAACATGACCGCTCTAAATGTATGCAGAGGACTTGTAGACTGACTACTGTGCAAATCATTAAAGGAACACTCCACTCAGACATAAAGAACCAAACTCCAGGCAGACATAAAAGTCACACATTAATGCCACTGTGTATTCATGAATACATCATTCAAATGTATATTGACTTGCAGCCCTGTAAGCACCTGAATTGGACCTGCTATCAGCCTCTTTTGCAGCAGAGCTCGGACTGTGGGATGGAGAAGCAGCATAAGGAGCCAATCAATTGTGTGGCAGTGCTCATGTGCTAACAAGGGGCATGCTGATAGGAGTAGAGAGCAGAGTGACAGAGAGATGAGAGCTCATCAGTCTGCTGCTTCTTCTTTCACTACCCTGTGGAAGGGACAAGGCCTGCAGATGTGTATTGAAGTGCAAAAGGGAAAAATCAGGTCTCCTGCCCTGCTAGACAGGATTTTACTGTGTGGCTGAGCTGTGTAAATATTAGAACTGGATGGAAAAAGTATGACTCATCTGCAGTTTACCTTAAACTCTGCTTTAAAGGGAATGAACTTCTACCAGGGTACCTTAGAAGCTGCAGAAAGTCAGGTAAACCTTGCTTCATTTCCTGGCTGGAAGACGTCCAGCATCATCAAAATCTTTCTTCCCCAGCCTGACTGTCCCTGGCCCAGCCATTACATTCATTGGATTCCGGTTCTTTCAATCACGGAAGCTAAGCACCACATGTGGACATTACCTATGGCAGTCGGCAAATGCAGTCTCCCTAGGAAAGCCCACTCTTGAAATCCACCCTTCAAGGCAAATTAATATTTGCATAACCCCTCCCAGGAGTCAACCTACTGCTTGCACCAGTGCTGAGGACTGTTGAGAGGAGTACTGAGGCAGGCACTGTGATATTTTTACAAAGCTATGTACAGCACCCTGCTGGCCCCTCCCACCAGCCATAATTTGACTGAATTGCCTAGAGAAGCACAGAGGCACAATGATGAAATCTTAAATAAGGCATGCAATGAAAAAGGAAAGATGTTATTAGCATGTTGATTGTAAAAAAAAAAATAAAATTGTAAAAAATTAAAGACAGATTAATCTACAAAAAAAATATTAATCTCTTCCCCACTCTGTCTAAAATTTAAAGCCACAAATTTGGCTCGAGTTAAACTATAAAGCCCAATAGGCACAGATCACCCATAATTCTGGTGTATATCATTGACTAATCTGCATATCCGCAGCCCCATCGGCCCCATCAACTGAGACTAGTGCATTATATTTGGAGATCAAACAACTCGCCCATTGGAAGCTATGGAGAAGCACTGTTTGGGTCGGAGTTCCTCTGTAAGGATTTAGGTTCTCTGTTAGACATAGCCACCCTTGTAAAGAATGTTTTATCTCCATTGTCTCCAATGAGACGTCTAATGACCTGTGAAATAATATACAGAGTATGTCTGATCCCCGTATCTCAGGAAGGAAGCATAATTACATACCGAGGCATCCTTAATGGCCTCTAAATGGTGTGTTTGACCTGAATTGCTGGGCACATTTGAATGCTGAGCACAAGCTAGCGGCTCAATATCGCAGCTCTCAAGTACTAAGAATCTCTATAGGGATTGGTAGAGGCTGAGTCACCTATTAAGTAGGATTCCCACTTCCAGGCAGTAAAATACAATCCCTGGTGTCAGTAAATAGAACGCTGCGAGGAAACGACTTCCATGAAAATGACCGTGGAGCCAGATTGAGGGTCGGCCTTCTCCGAACTGGTGGCAGTAATTTTGTCTGTTATAACGATGGAACATCCAGGTGCTCCTTCCTCCAAATGCTAATGAAAGCGTATCTAAACCCAAAACAAAAATGTAATATACTATATTGCCAAAAGTATTGGTCGGCCGGGCTTTACATGCACATAAACTTTAATGGCCCCCAGTCTTAGTCCGTAGGGTTCAATATTGAGTTGGCCCCGCCCTTTGCAGCTATAACAGCTTCAACTCTTCTGGGAAGGCCGTCCACAAGGTTTAGGAGGGTGTCTATGGGAAGGTTGGACCATTCTTCCAGAAGCACATTTGTGAGGTCAGGCACTGATGTGGGGGGAGGAGGCCTGGCTCACAGTCTCCGCTCTAATTCATCCCAAAGGTGTTCTATGGGGTTGAGGTCAGGACTCTGTGCAGGCCAGTCAAGTTCCTCCACCCCAAATTGGCTCCTCCATGTCTTTATGGACCTTGCTTTGTGCACTGGTGCGCAGTCATGTTGGAACAGCAAGGGGCCATCCCCAAAATCTTCCCACAAAGTTGGGAGCATGAAATTGTCCAAAATGTCTTGGGAAGCAGATGCCTTAAGAGTTCCCTTCACTGGAACTAGGGGGCCAAGCCCAACCCCTGAAAAACAACCCCACACCATAATCCCCTCTCCACCAAACTTGGAATAATGCAGTCAGGCAAGTATCATTCTCCTGGCAACCGCCAAACCCAGACAAGTCAATCAGATTGCCAGACAGAGAAGCGTGATTGGTCACTACAGAGAACACGTCTGCACTTCACTAGAGTCCAGTGGCGGTGTGCTTTACACCACGGTATCCAACGCTTTGCATTGCACTTGGTGATGTAAGGCTTGGATGCAGCTGCCCGGCCATGGAAACCTATTCAATGAAGCTCTCTACACACTGTTGTTGTGCTAATCTGAAGGCCAAACCAAGTTTGGAGGTCTTTAGGTATTGACTCTGCAGACAGTTGGCGACCTCTGCACATTATGTGCTTCAGCATGCGCTGACCTCGCTCTGTCATGTGACGTGGCCTACCACTTGGCTGGCTGAGTTGCTGTTGTTTCCAGTTGCTTCCACTTTGTTATAATCCCACTAACAGTTGAGCGTGGAATATTTAGTAGCCAGGAAATGTCACAGATGGACTTATTGCACAGGTGACAACCTATCACGGGACCACGCTTGGAGTCACTGAGCTCCTGAGAGCGACCCACTCTTTCATAAATGTTGTAGAAGCAGTCTGCATGCCTAGGTGATGATTTTATACAGCTGTGGCCATGGAAGTAATTGAAACACCTGAATCCAATGATTTGGAGGTCTGGCCTACTACTTTTGGCAATATAGTGTATATCACACATTACCAGTCCTTGGATGTGGTGGTTGCATTAGTTTTCTTTTTTACAGCTAAGTACATTTCAGCAGTACAGAAACTAAATGGCTGATCTTGTCAGAAATGAAGTGTCTTTGTCAATGCCTGTGAGCAGACCTGGAAGCACGAGGGCTCTTTCACATCAGGAGGTGCATCCAATCATATGGTTTTTCGAATGTCACATTTAGGGAAGCGCATTCATTTCAGTTGGTTACTCTATACATGGGAAATGCAGAAAAGAAGTGAAGGTACAATTTTTAAAAATAGTAACAGTAAAGTGGAGAGTGAGCGACCAGATATGCTTATTGCACCACATCCCTTAGAATGAAAGATATTCAGTAGAAAGGATGGGACTTTCAGGGTGCATGAACATGAATACCAAACATATTAAAAAGATATATCATTTTATTTCATATTTTTTTAAAACAAAGAAAAAAATACAAAAACATAAAAACAATTTCAGCACTAAGTGTGGAACTGAAATTCGAACTTGATTATATAATTGTAGTTACTCCCTACATGTTTCGACCTCACGGGCTTCTTCAGGGGAGATTTTTGAAGATGTTTCAACCGCCGAGGTGTAGTAAAAAAATGATACAGTTACCAAACAACTTTAATGTATCCAATACAAACAGTGTATCAATCAAATACATATATGGGACTCAATAGCTCACCCTGGATGTGAAGGCTCGCAGAGCTAAAAGGAAATAACCTGTCAAAGACCTCCAAAGCAGTTGTAGAGGATATAAAGGGCATCAAATATCCATCTAGGCATAATAGGATAAACAAAAAAACAAAAAATTAATTTACTGTATTTTCCGGCGTATAAGACGACTTTTTTTACTTTAAAACTTACCCCAACAATTGGGGGTCGTCTTATACGCCGGGTATAGAACGCTGGATGTGCGGTAATACTGTATTGTAGCTTCAGCTACACACAGTGTACCGCGCTGAGCCAATCACGGCGAGCGATGTATTTTATTAATGAATACAGAGCCTGCTCAGATTGGCTGAAGTTGTGACATCATCAGCCCGCCTCTCTGACACAGCCAATCCGAGCGAGCTCTGTATTCATTAATAGAATACATCACTTGCCGTGATTGGCTCATATGACGTCCTCCCATTCTCCGCACATGTGCGGCGATGCGCTGTGTCCCTCGGACACAGCGATCACCGATCAAGGAAAGAGCCAAAGATGTCGGCTCGGTCATGTGATCAGCTGTGTCCAATCACAGCTGATCTCATGTAAACAGGGAAATGCCGGTTAACGGCATTTCTCTCCTCTCGAGCTGTCACGCTGACAGCTCGAGAGGAGAGCCGGTAATCGGCTTTCCGTGGAGGGGACATGTACACTGATCATCAGGGCACTGATGATCAGTGTGCCCTGATGATCAGTGTAGCCCCAGCAGTGCCAGCTGTCAGTGTCCATCAGTGCCACATCAATGCCACATATGAGTGCCTACCAGTGCACATCAATGCCACATATCTGAGCTGCCTTTCAGTGTCACCCATCAGTGCCAGTCAGTGCCACCTATCAGTGCTGTCAATCAGTGCCACCTATTAGTGCCAGTCAGTGCCGCCTATTATGCCATGTATCAGTGCTGCCTTTCAGTGCCCATCAGTGATGCCTGTCAATGCCCATCAGTGCTGCCAGTCAGTGCCACCTATCAGTGCCAGTCAGTGCCACCTATCAGTGCCACCTATCAGTGCCATGTATCAGTGCTGCCTTTCAGTGCCCATCAGTGATGCTTCTCAATGCCCATCAGTGCCACCTACCAGTGCCTCCTCATCAGTGCCCATCAGTGCCACCTATTTCATATGGGTAAAGTGTTGCATGACCGCGCAATTGTCATTCAAAGTGTGATAGCGTTGAAAGCTGAAAATTGGCCTGGGGGGGGGGGGGGGAAGTGCCCTGTAGGCTAGGGGTTAAATGGTGTTGCCTCAGAAGGGGGGTAGTCTTATACGACGAGTATAGCCCAAAACCTGTGTTTTAACTGGAAAATTAGGGTGTCGTCTTATACACCCAGTCGCCTTATACGCCGGAAAATACGGTTTTTACAGAGGTTATAAGGAGTAGGTCATAATTCATTAAGTGGTTGAGGTTAACTTAAGCAGTTTTACCTGTTGAATGTTGTAGAAGTATATGTAGGTTTAACCTAACAAGCATCTAATTGACCTATACATGATCCCTCTATGTCTATCCTATTATGTTTAGATGGATGTTTGATGTTCAGTATTTCCTCTATTATGGTTTTGGACGTATAGGTCAATTAAATCCTTGTTAGGATAAACCTATATATCCTTCTACAGCATTCAACAGGTAAAACTGCTTAAGTTAACCTCAACCACTTAATGAATTATGACCTACTCCTTATATCCGCCATAAAATTAAATTAATTTTTTGTTTTTTATGTTTATCCTATTATGCCTAGATGGATATTTGATGCCCATTATATCCTCTACAACTGTTTTGGATGTGTAGGCCAATTAAGGTCTTTGACAGGTTATTTCCTTTTAGCTCTGTGAGCCTTCACATCCAGGGTGAGCCATTGAGTCCCATATATGTATTTGGTTGATAAACTATTTGTATTGGATACATTAAAGTTGGTTGGTAATTGTATATTTTTTTTTAAATACCTTTAGACTGCCTCGGCAATTGAAACCTCTTCAAAAATCTCCCCTGAAGAAGCCCGTGAGGGCGAAACATGTAGGGAGTAACTACAATTATGTAATCAAGTTCGAATTTCAGTTCCACACTTAGTACTGAGATTGTTTTTATGTTTTGTATTTTGTTCTTTGTATCAAAAAAAATATGAAATAGAATGTTATATCTTTTTAATATGTTTGGTATTCATGTTCATGCACCCTGAAAGTCCCATCCTTTCTACTGAATATCCACAATTTTTTAAAACTGCACCACACTAAAACGCATGCTACTGTGATACCATGCATTTTGGCGGGAGTGAATGCGCTCATGTATGCTAGATATGTGGGTGCCATTAACTCCTAATCACGTCTGCAAAAGGCAGCATGTTTTTGTGCAGTGTGGGAAAGCGTGCCAATCTGCATGTGTTCCCGCACCGCCCCTGGTGTGAACAAGCCCTAAATCAACGTTATCATATTTGTGTAAACTACTAATCCCTTCGTCCTCCATGTGATGGAGATGAACAAAGTCTGGGTGACAACACAGGAGTAGTAGTGGAGGAGTAAGTGTAGCCACCCAGGTACAAGAAGCATGGTATTCACAGGATTACCAGGTGAAAATAAAGGAATAAAGGCCTAAAAAAAAGAAAACTAATGTAGACGTCTCATTTAGGGATGGATAAGGGGTGATGTGTGACATTTTTTCTTTTTGGGTTTAGATAGACTTTAAAGGAGAACTCTACCTTTGAAATAAACCTGTACTTGCCCATAAGAAAAGAAAAAGGTGCATTTGATTGCCCACTTGCCCCTATTGCTTATACTTACCTTCTGTTTGTCTGCCAGAGGGAGGTTGAAAAGCAGAGTGGTACAATGTTAGAGGTGGGGGCACCATTGTTGGCCAGATGCTTAGCAGCTGTCTGGGGGGCACTATGGGATGTTGCAGGACACTGTGGGTAATTATGGGAGTTTGGGAGCACTCTGGGAGGTTAGAAGATCTGCAGCTGGCTGAAGGCCCAGGAGGAGGGAGGCCCCAGCCTAGCAGTTGGCCACAGACCTATGGTTGAGGACCACTGGCCTAAAGTCGTGCCACTGTTAGAGGTGGGGGCACCATTGTTGGCCAGATGCTTAGCAGCTGTCTGGGGGGCACTATGGGATGTTGCAGGGCACTGTGGGTAATTATGGGAGTTTGGGAGCACTGTGAGAGGTTAGAAGATCTGCAGCTGGCTGAAGGCCCAGGAGGAGGGAGGCCCCAGCCTAGCAGTTGGCCACAGACCTATGGTTGAGGACCACTGGCCTAAAGTCATGCCAGTGAAGGATGAATTCTGATTGGTTGCTACACATTGCTGTATATTGCAAATTACTTGTTGCTTTGTGGATTACAAACCGAGCACTTTTTAGTGATGTTCCTGCAATGATTTGTGCTTTTCGACTGTTGCCTTGGGAGTCAGCGATCCATACAATAGGATTTCACAGAGGACATCTCCAACATCTCCGTGCCACCTGGATCAATAAAATCCGTCAAGGTGTGTTTGCAAACGCACAAGGCACCCAGGGAGAAACATAATCTTGTTTTTCTCCCCGTGCAATCAGCTTACACAACAGGAGACGCTGTTATTATGATTTATAGAATGCCACGCTATTTTGCTGTCACAGCAGTATTCATCACACAGCCAAGAGGCAGAGATACAGGGGATTACAGCGGGTCCGTGACTCCGGGAGCCAAGCTGGTGTCATTGAATGTCTTTCTATATTATAGTCTGTAAGAAAGGGAAGTACAATAAAAGAAAGACTTTTGCTGGCAGGGTGGCTATTATTGCTTTCATGGCTGGGAGTGTGGAAAGGCTCTGTAGGCCCTTGCCTAGGGCGGGGAGGCTGTAGGAACAGAAGTCTGCCTACAGTGCCGCATTATTTGTCATTTCATTTTACCGCTTTATTTTTCTGGAAAGACTATTAAAGCTAGGAGTCAATCTTGCTCTGTTGCTCAGGCACAGAATTATCTGTTAACATGCTTAGAGAAGGGAAAGCAGAGTAGCTACCTCATCACCCTGCTGTTCACTCATTGTCCAATCAGGGGGTGGGGAGAGTTCTAGACCAGAATTAAATTCAATTGCTGGCTCCCAGGGTTTTCGCTTTCACACTGCTCTGTTGCAAAAACGCGGTAAAAAATGCATATGCGTTTTTTGCCATATAATGCGTTTCCGGTGCATTTTCCAGGTGCCTGTTACCCAGCATACATCTGTGAAACTTGAACATGTGACTCAATAAAGGCACCAAAAATGCAATGCAATGAAGCACTTCTACCATTTCAGTGGGGAGCTGCAATTTGGGTGCGGTTTTCAAAACCGTCCCTTGTCGCTGCTGCGGACATCTCCGCCTGTCTCCTTCTGCTGGGTTCGGAGCGTGTTGCAGTGCTGGTTAGCAGTGCATGTATTTGAAAAGCCTTTTATTTCTTGGAGAAAAGACATACAGAGTCTCTTCTGCAATAAAAACCTTTCTGCCAGCAGTATTCTATAAACTGGAATTTATTTCCACTTAAGCTGCTGTATAATTTGCACATAGGGTGGGGAACAATATACATAAGTAACCAGCAATCCATTTTGACATATCAGATGCCACAGAAAACCATAAAAACAGAGTTGGTCTTTAATTCAGAGACTCACTCCTCCCGCTGCATTGTTATTTACAGTAAATGAAAGACCCCTATGTAGAACACAAGGCCCCCTACTTTATACCCTCAGTGAGAGCGTCATGCAGAATGCAGTGTGCGACTTCTGGTGTGCCCAGGCAGCAGAAGGGGTTAAGCTGTGACACCGTGCATGCTGGGTAATCTGCTTGCTGAGATTTTTATAAAGATAGCGGAGCTCAGTGTGTACCAGAAGGTGCCAGCTGAGTGCTCCTATAATCACTAGGCCCATTAATGGTACAGGAAAGTATTCAATTTTGTATGGAATTACAAAGAACGGCCCCCTTATGTCTCAGGCACCATGCAATATAAACCCTCAGTAAAAGAAAATGATTTATTTTAGTGTATTCACAGCTCTGCAGAGAGAGAAAGAGGGAGTGATAGAGAGTAAGAAGGGGAGAGAGAAGGTGAGAAAGTATGTGGGAGAGAGAGAAGGAGAGGAAGAGAAAGAAGGAAAGAGAGAACGTGATAGAGAGTAAGAGAGGGGGGAGAGAGAGAGAGAAGGAGAAAGAAAGAGGAGAGGAAGAGAGAGAAGGAGAGGAAGAGAAAGAAGGAAAGAGAGAAAGTGATAGAGAGTAAGAGAGGGGAGAGAGAGAGAAGAGAAAGAAAGAGGAGAGGGAGAGAGGAGAGAGAAGGAGAAAGAAGGCGAGGGAGAGAGAAGGAGAGGGAGAAGGAGAAAGAAAGAGGAGATGGAGAGAGAGGAGAGGGGGGAGAGGAGAGAGAGTCTGTGGTGGAGAGAGAGAGAGGAGAGGAAGAGAAAGAAGAAAAGAGAGAAAGTGATAGAAAGTAAGAGAGGGGAGAGAGATAGAGGAGGAGAGGGTGAGAGAGAAGGAGATGAGGAGGGAGAAGAGGGAGAGAGAGAGAAGGAGAAAGAAAGAGAGAGGGAGAGAGAAGGTGAGTAAGAGAGAGGAGAGGGAGTGTCAGGGCTCCCGGGTATGACCAGAGGTATGTGACTGACGCAGGGAAACGCAGGCTTCAGATAAGTTATAAACAATATAATTTATTAACACTAACAATACAAACATAAACGCAGTGCAATACTAAAACATAACACAGTGCAAACGAACCAAACCACCCACAGATAACAGTACATACAATGCAAGCGTCGTCAGGCAGGCCGGGTCAATAACAATCGGGCAGGTAGGTACAGGGGGTCAGGCAGAGAATGGTCGGGGTCACAAGCCAGGATAAAACAGGAGAAGTCAGCAGAGGTCCGGATCAGGCAGGGTCCGCAACGAATCAGACAGAGACAGGAACAGGAACAGGAATGCAGGATTACAAGATACAGGGCCCAGAAAAAAACACACACACCAAGGCCAAGACTGCAGGTCTGGCCATCACTTAAATACACCTGCATAAGCAGTTTCAGGTGTTTGGCTGGCTGCAGGGTTGAGTCTCTGATTGCTGGGAGCACCCGCTGGCCAGCCCTGGTACTGCAGCCCACAAGGCAAGTGAGTCCCACCATTACTGGCAAGTCCATT